ACAGTCGTAAGTGTGGAAAAAACGATCGTAAGTCACATTTTTCAGTGCTGTTTGTTACTTCAGTTACTAGACGAACTGTTGTAAGTTGAGGGCTCCCTCTATAAATACTGACAACGGCTTCCTCCCTTTGTAGACTTGTAATAAATTTGCTATCCAACACTGGTAGGCTGATTCTTCAAACAAAATGTAAAGTGACTTGATGCCCGGTAGACAAACACCATGTTTTTTCACCGCAGTGTGATTGCAGATGAGTCATTAAGTAAAATGATTAATCAGAAATCGATGTCACTACTCAGCTGTATCTGAGGCGATCCACTTATCCCAATATAACAGATACACGGTTGATAGGCTAATGCATTTATACGAACCCCGCTGGAAATTTGTGCGCAATTAAGTTCAGGTGATGACCCGCTGGTATATATATATTTTGGTACTTTGCACATCCGATAGCTTGTTCAGCAAATACAGAGATGAAATTGAGCCTTATATGAATGGCATTAAGTGGCAATCGGCAAGCAGATGGGAGATCTCTCCGAATTTTAATACAGGCCCTTAGAAGGTGTTCGGCTCCATTAATTACTTGTTCTATCAGTGTCTGCAAATACTTGTTATCAGTCAATAGATACATTTCTTTTAAGGGCATAGAATCGACTATTATTCTGCCTGCTGGTCTTAAAACATCCCTATCTCCTGTTTTGGCAGATCTACCCTGGTGACAGCCAAGCGTGAAAATTTATGAACGTGCAATAAAACCACCCCTTTCCTCCAATTCTGGGCTTTGCTTTCAATTCATCTGATAGAGATGTACTGTAGCCAAAACAGAGCCACTATACAAACTTCTATAAAGATTAAGGACACAAGAATAATTAAACATGAGTTTCTTTCAACATAACTGATTCCAAAGATAATCAAAAGATCAGCTGGCACATAATGGGGGGAAAAAAATCTCTTTCTATTGTAGAACTTGGAAGACCCACTGGGAAGGATCATACTGGATTGGAAGAGGCTATTTTATCTAAGGCCATTTCTAGTGTTCCCATAATTCGGCGCACAAAAAAATGTACTTGCTTACGAGGTAAAACTTAGCTAGGGGTTCCATCAAATAATGATCTGCTTTTTCCATGCAGCTTAAGACCACCAACCATGCAGAATAAGTGATCACTTAATCATTTCAAGGACGTAAGAGGAACGGCAAGATATAGAATGAACACGTAACAAAGTAACACGATTGGAAGGGACCTTGGAGGTCTTCTAGTCCAACCCACTGTACAAGCAGGAGGATCCTGTAACCATTTCTGGAGAAACGGCTGCCCAATCTTTTCTTCAAAACCTCCAGGGATTGAGCACCCACCATTTTGTGAAGGTAACACTGGTTAATTGTTCTAATTGCCAAGAAATTTCTCTTTCGTTCTACGTTGCTTCTCTCTTTGATTAGTTTCCATACGTTGCTTCTAAATTGCCTTCTGCTGCTTTGGAGAATAGGCTGAGCCCTAAATCGTTATTTTATGTTGAGGGTGAAAAAAACTATTGCTCGTAGTCTGCAACTTTGGGATGTTTCTGAAAGCAGGTAAGTGTGAAAACACTGCTCCCTCTTGTGGGAGCGATGAAGAACTTCAAACCAAGCAATCTGAGGGAGATTTACTACTGTAATAATTCTGCCCGACAACTCTGGATTAGCTGCTCTTTTATACTCTATCCAAGCAGACACTATTTTCTCTATTAGCAAGGGTTGCTTAGTAGACAACACCAAGAGAATAAGGGGCAGAAGCAGCGGTGTGTATTTAAAGAGCATAAGCCATAGACAGACTTGCTTCTTCATCCGTTTTGGCACAGGTGGACAATTTAATCTTTTAATGTCCGGGATCAGAAATGCAAGATGCTGCCGCAGCCTTCCTGACAAGGGATAAGGGCAAAATCTCCACATGAGATGAGGCCATCTCCTCTGAGGACGTTGCATTCCAGCACGGGATTCCTTTCGTGGTTCAAGTGAACGTTACTCCCTTGTGTAACATTGGCTCGAACCCTAACCCTCCAAATGATTAATAAAAATGGCTTCCGCCAGGTAAAGACTGGTCTTAAAAGAAAAGTAATTTATTTCTCTTATGTACAGAATGGCTTTTGGAGCAGGGCGGTGGCCTAGAGGCGGAGCTCTCGCCTCACAATCAGGAGGCTGGGAGTTCGATCCTAGGTAGGAGGCGGGTATTTCTCTCTCGGGACACAATGAGAATATATCTGCTGAACAAAACTCCGCATTGGTGACAGGAAGGGCATCCGGCCATTAAACACTCTGTTAGCTCCATTCGGTTGCCCAGACTCCACACACCCCCAAGGGATTATGAGGTCGTTACAAGATGACGACGTATAGAATGGCTTTTCTGAATGTGAATAAGGAGCTATTTACCCTTCTTAAACGTAAATCTCCAAACTCCTAAATTTTGTAGTTACAAACTTATCTGCCTTTGGCAGGATTTGTCCTTAATGCTTATCTTCTCCTGAATCACAGCCCCTGCTTTAGACTTCAAATTCTGTAAGATTCTACCTCGAATCAGGAATGTACATTTCTATTTTTGGCTGCCTCTAGAATTCCTGTAGGATAAAATAATTAAAAGCAATTTGGTTTCTTACTGTTCAGATGTGGAACCCTGCACAAGCTATTTGTGTGGGAAAGCTAGAGTAGGTTTAACAAAGAGAAGGGAAGAGAGAGGCCAAACAACGCGAGCATGACATTCTCTACCCACCAAATGTTAGATAAAATTTCAGGCTACCCCTTTTCCAGATACAACATGGCACATGTTCGTTTGCATCAGCGTATCTTGCCTTTAATGTCAACCCAGACTCTTAATATTAAATACAATTCAGAGCTAAAGGGGGGGGGATAAACAAACAGACCACAATGCCCAGTATTTCATACTTAGCAGTTAATTCTTCATAACATCAAGAACAAAAGAAGAGTGGATTCTACAAACATTGCAGTTAAGTAGATACAGAATGTACAATGAAATATTGTATATACAAGTCCGTTTCAATATACATTGTGGCAGAAAATTAGGAAACAGTTCAGAGATAGATAGAGAGATAGATAGATAGATAGATAGATAGATAGATAGATAGATAGATAGATAGATAGATAGATAGATAGCTCTCCATCCGAAGCATCCTTGCCAAAGTTAAAAACTTTCTCTTTGCTTTGGTTACGAAGCTCACATTTCTTTTCGTCCATTTTACACGCTACTGTCTCTCAACCGGGTTATAAATAGCACATTTGAGGCCGCATGCGCTGCTCTCTGCCTTCACACATGCCCACACTGAAGTAAGAAGCTCGTGATCTCGACCTGGTTTAACAACGATCGCTTTCGAATGGATTGATCAAGTTGCCATATAAATCACCCCAGGTTTCCCACAAGATCTCAAGAGAATACAGAAGCATTGACCTCAGAGGGAAGAAGAGTAACCTTCTCAATGCTCAGCCTCCGGCAACTGAATCCTAAACCAGCCTTCTGGGAGTTGAAGTCCACAAGTCTTAAAGTGGCCAAGTTTGGAGACGTCTGTCCTAAACCAACGTACCAAATGAACAGAGAATGCCATGAGAAACACCGTGATCTGTTGGGTCGCCAAAAATGGGTTACTAACCTTCAAAAGGATCGACAAGGTAACTATTGCTGAAGTGATCCAGAAGGATGAGGTGGGAATAATTCAAGAAGAGATAGAGCACAAACGTATTAATGTTTCTTTTAGAGTTAAGACATTTGGCTAATGTTCTATAAGATTCTCTACAGCTATGATACAAGATCCTCGAAAAGGACTTTACAGTCATGTATATATACAATTTGATGTAAATAATTTCTCTCTAGAAACTCTTTTCAACACCATGTAGAAAAATAAAACAAACAAAATGGAAAGGAGTAAAGTCTTTACTCTAGATCAAGAAAATATCTCAGCTGTTAGGAACTACCAAAGCATTCTAGGCAATCTTTTTTTTTTTTTACACGAACTTTCCTCCTTTGTTTAAAGTCAAATACTTGGTTTATTGGAACATTTGTAGTGGGTGAGGAAACAGAATGCACAGACAGACACAAAATGTAAACAGGTTTTTTCATAGTTACATTCAGCTAACAGAACAGCATTTTTTTTAAAAAAAATTCAGGTTTTCAGTGCTCCTTCTAAGCTTTGCAAGAGAAGTGGATTACTTGTTCTCTCAATTGCTTAAGTTATTTTATTAAATATTTATGCAGCTTGTAAACAGCTTACAATAAATAGAACACAGGCAACGGGCTACAAAATAGCTCCTTTCTATATTCTAACATTGCTTTTAAATATGTAAAAAAAAAGAAAAAGAAAAAACCAAAAAACACGTGGCTTTAGACCACAGCTTAGTCAAAAGAGTCTTGAATTTTTAAAACGATCTTAGCAGATGTTAACCAGGAATCAATATGTGAGTCACTGTAAATAATCATTATTTTAACATATACACACATGTGAAAAATTAGCTGAGGAGGGCAGGATTAAAGTAATTGGAAACTTTGGGGTAATTATAGAAACAAAGGATTAGAAGATGTAGAGGGGGGGGGTCACACTTCTCCAAAGTTTGTTACAATACTGAGTATTGGGCTACAATAATATTTTAATCTGCCTTAGTACTCACAGAGTATGATTTGGCTACAGTACTTCAGAATAATTTTCCTGTTCTTGAGCAGAGTCAATGATTATAACTAAATGTAACTATGCTCCAAAACTACAATCCAGAATTAAAAACTGAAACAAAGAATTTGGCTTATAATCTAGTGAATTTTAAACATCTATAAATATTTGACATCTATCCAATATTGCGTACATTACCCTAATATGGATCAACTAGAATGTTGAAATACAATTTAAATAGTTCCCCTATATAAAGCACAGGGGAAGGAAAAAACCAGAAAAGCTTCATATTCTGTTCTGGTCATCAAATATTACTGCTTCATGCATACCTGGAATAAATCTTTTTTTTTCTTAATTACAGATTATCTGAAAATGCTGGAATGAGTAAAATACAGGCAAACTACAGTTTTGTCGAATCACGCCTAGATTTTATATCAGATGAAAGAACAAAATGGTGAGTTTAAAACAGAGAAAGGTGTTTCCATCCGAAAGCAAGCCGATACACAGCTTGAATCTGGAAGCGTGTGCATCTAAAATCAAAGTATTAATCTCCCTGTGGGGATTTGGAACAGAGAAACGCATCTCAGTCCTTCTGCACAAATAATGGAAGCTTAAATTACTTTGAGGCAACATCACAGAATATTGCAATATTCTTTCAAATACATTTGCCTAAGCAGTTTCTTCATCTCGTGGCACTTCTTCAATATTAGCTTATCAATGTTAATTAAAGGGCAAGGCAGCCCTTCAGCTGAATTGGTAACGTGGTTTTTTTCCAATATAAAAAATTCTCTTTTATGTACAACGGTGGCTCGCTTTGGGGTTCTTCAAGACAAAAAAAAAGCAGGATGAGCTAAATTATGCTTTGAAGAACTTTGGGGTGCTTTGATCTTCTTTCTTCTTGCCATTTTTGTCCCCAAACTTCCACATTAAGCAACAAGAAAAAAAGAAATCAAATTAATTTTAAGGCACAAGACACTATGGGGATTTGGAACAGAGGAAGAAATACGTGCACTGGGGGAAAAAAAAAGGAATATGCATTTGTCAATAAGCGTTTCTTATTGGTTGCCCACTGCAGATCACCTATAAGATGCCTGCTTTACCAAGCTCTACATGTAAAGGATTTTTGCGATTAATCCAAAATATACTGGCTTGCTTTGCAGTGGAAAACAGGGAGAAAAACACAGGTTTAAAACCACCAACTACTGTATATCACCAGAACGGCCCTGTCACACAGTGTTAAGTCACACAGCTCCAAAACCCCACATTAAATGAAATTACAGTGGCAATTCCAGGAAACGTAAGATATAAAGTTTTAGGCTTTGATAAAACTGCAGTGGCAAAGAAGGGAAAAAAAGTCCCGGCAAAAGCGCATTCCTGCTTTCACAGACTGTATTCCTTTAACCGTTAAGACTCACATCATGGGAAGACAAAAGAAAATACTTTCCAATTTAAACCCAAGGGCTTTCTTTCCATAATTTTAATGGAATTAAAGACAGAAATGCAGCTTTTTTCTTTTTAAACCAGCAAAATACTCCGGCCTATGTATTTTTTTTTTTAAAGAACATCTTCCTGGTTTCCTACAATTTTGCAAAAAAAGAAGAGCCAAACAACCCAAACTAAGCAATCACAGGTTAAGTGGGGGGAGGGAAGGAGGAGGAGGAAGAGGAGGAGAAGGAAGAAAGGAAGAGGAAGAGGAGCATAGCTAATCCTGATTCAATCCTCGTTTTGGTACAAGTGTTATGTAAACAAGAGAGTGAAGCTTAAGGCTTAGAAAGAACACTGATCGCGACATTCCCCGTCTCACATCAAGACGTCCACGTCTCCTTCGTGGTCCTCTTCAGTCACTTTCAACGACAAGACCTCTTCGTTGAGGAACAAGCCGCTCAGCCTCTCCTTCCGTGCCTGCCGCTGCTCTTTCAGCTGCCTCTTGCGCAGAGCCTTTTGCTGGAGTTTGCGCTGCTTGGAGCGTTTCTGTTGAAACACGAGAGGGGAAGAAGAAGAAGAAGAAGAAAAAGAAGCCACACTCGGGGTTTTTTTTTCCCACTTTTAAGATCAGATGAGAGGAGCTTTTCATTGTCACTTTTTTTTTTCCTGTGAATGCATCGGCACATGAAATCCTGAGGCCCACTCTCAATAAATAAACACACACGCACACACACGTTGTTCAGTGAACCTTTGCAGTTGTTAAGTTAGTAACCAGGTTATTAAGTGAAGCTGGTTTCTCCATTGACTTTGCTTGCCAGAAGGTTGCAAAAAGGGATCACACGACCCCGGGACAGGGCAACTGTCATAAATGTGAGTCAGCTGGCAGCACGGGGAGGCTGCAAAAGGTCGTAACTACGAAAAACAGTCACCACATTTTTCAGTGACGTAATTTTGAAAGGTCACTAAATGAACTGTTGAGGACTACATATGTGTGAGATAGATTATATATATATATATATATATACATACACACACACACACATATAATATTCGGCTTTGTTCGGGTATTTTCCCACGTCATTATAGTTGTGCTTTTAAAGTTGTAGCAACGGCTTGCACTGGCACGAAGCCGAAAGCACCAGGCCGAGGATGGCGAGTAGGACCTCGGCGAAACATCACACTCTTAATCTTACACGGAAAAAGACCCGAACACACCTAGACATATGTACGTATGTACGTATGCTATGGCATTCAGGGGAGATCGCCGTCAGCCATGTTGTGCATATGCGATAAAAGGACTGACTGGGCGAGGTGGGCGGAGAGGGGCGGGGCTAGCCAGGAGCACGATCTGCTGGTTCTCCGAACTGCGCAGAATCGTAACAACTATAGAACTGGTCCGAACTGGTAGAATCCCACCCAATATACACACATAAACACACACACACACACACACACACACACACACACACGTACAAATCACAGTCCATTTTGTACGCATAGCTTTTTAGGCTCAACTCTAATCAGGTACAGGTGTCTTAGTCCTTGACCCCTCAAAGGGTACCTAGGGCCAAGTTCGGAAGTTCCAACAGCTGCCGCACTCCTCCCACATGACCGCAATTCAGTCCTGTATTTACAGTGACTTCCAGTTTGGGGCAAAAACGCCCCCTACCAACAAGGGGTTTGCTTAAATGAGCGCCAAGTGGGAGCTTTTACTTTTGAATCCCGGATGCGTTCCGCAGCGCTCGTCGATAAATTATTCTCACTATGAGCCCGACTCAGGTTGGCGCTGGAATTCGAACCCGAGTTGCCGATGCTCGAACTGCTGCTGCTGGCCGAGCTGACCATGCTGGCGCTGCTGCTGCTGGCGCTGACGCCGCTCACACCGCTGGCACTGCCCCCGCTGTAGCTGCTCCGCTTCCAGGTCTCCCTGGCAGACCGCTGCCGGGGGCCGTGCTCCTTGATGTAATTTCTGACCTAAAGGGACAGGGAAGGGGCAGGGGGTTAGGAGCCAGGATAGACTTTGCCCCCCCAAATAAAAAAAGGGCACTACGGCAACGAATTCTATGCAGAACTGACTTTTAAAGGTGTTCAACGCCATCGGGTCACTTCCAGCCCTGACTAGCAATACTGGGGCATCTTTTATGAGTCCGATGATATTTGGGCACCCCAAATGCTTTAAGAGCTTGCGCTGAGAGATCCTTGCATGACTTCAGAGCATGAAGTTCTGATTCATAATAGCTATAACTAAGAGCAACACCAAAATGATTTCCTCTGTCCCTATAAGTATTACTGCAATAAAGAATACTGCATCATCATAACTCTGCCACTATGACTTCCTTCCTTCCTTCCTTCCTATACAGAAACAGATTAATAGATTTAGAAGGGACCTTGTAGTTCATCTAGTCCAAACCCTGCCCAAGCAGATTCTATACCATTTTTGACAGTCCAGTCTCTTCTTGAAAGCTTCCCACAACTAACTTCCTTCCTTCCTTCCTTCCTTCCTTCCTTCCTTCCTTCGTTCCTTTCCTTCCTTCCTTCCTTCTCAAGCAATAGCACTTAGACTTGTATACCGCTTCACAGTGCTTTACATCCCTAAGTGGTTTATAATCAGCCTCTTGCCCCCAACAATCTGGGTCCTCATTTTACCGACCTCGGAAGGATGGAAGGCTGAGACCACCTTGAGCCGGTGAGAATCGAACTGCTGGCAGTCAGCAGAATTAGCCGGCAATTCCTCCTTCCAACCACTGTGCCACCACAGCTCTCGGCAATGGACCTTTTCGCAAATCTCTGTGTGGAACCTTTTAATTTTGCACTCAAAACCAACCCCTAGGCGTCAAATTCTCTACATGTGTTTTTTTGTGTGTATTTGTACCAAGTTTTGCTTTAGGTCTCTCACAGATCTAGTAAAGAAACACCAGCTATCTGTATCAAGGCTACAGATTAATAAAGAATCTCCTCCTTGACCCTTTTTTAATCCAATTTTTCTGGGTTTTTTTTTTTTTCAGGCCTTCCCATCTCTATGTCTTGACTGTATTACACTGACTACTTTCGATTAATTTTACAGTCAATCCAGTCTGGCATTTGCTGTTTGAATTCGTTCAAGTATAAAGTCGAGGATCTTGGAACAGAATTGTTCATATTTACAGAGATACACGCAGCATAGCAACCTCAGACAGACTGTGAGAGGGGAGCAGAGCGTTTGGATTTACAAGACCAGAGGCTGCTTTCACATACCTGTTTCAGCTTTTCATCTGTGAGGCAGTTCAGTTCGATAATGAATTCATTGTCCGTGGGTGAAATCTGAGCTGTCGGATCAATAATTTTGATTATATCAAGCTGCTCTCGAAGGCCCATTTCCATACTGACTTTCCGGCTCAGATATTCAATATATTCCACCTGGAAACAAAACCCACACATATTTAACGTTATTAATGTTGCTGAAAGGCGTCGCTTACAGAAGCCAGAGAGGTGCTTGGCAACTGGCATGTATTTATGATGGCTGCCGTATCTCAGAGTTGTGTGAATGCCATTTGCAACCTTCCCAACTGGCTTCCGACAAGCAAAGTCAATGGGAGAAGATTCATTAAACGACTGCCTGACTCGCTTAACAACGGCAGTGAATCGCTTAACAGTTGCAGCAAGAATGGACATCAAATCAGGTGTGACTGCGTTGCTTCACAACAGAAATTCTGGTCCCAATGTGGTGCCTACCTGCATTCCTTCAGATTTGGGTCTAACTAACCAATTAACTAGTCTAATTGACTCTCTTGCTGGTATAATTTACTGTCAGAGACCCTCTTCTTTCTTTCTTAGTTGATCTGGCTCCTTCGTATACCCCATGCTCCCAGTCCCAAGTCCAGGACCGTATTTTGGAAGAGGTCCTCCAAATTGCCAAGGATTTACCTGCTCATCGTTGGTCATTGCGCTCCAGGGAAGTTCATCAAGATTCCGGTGTTTGTTTTTCTTTTTGGGAAGCAGGCAAGGAGAGCTCGGGATGCTGGGAATGATATCGGACAGCACATCACTCCCGCTTGCAATGTCACTGCCGGGCAGCTTAAAGAGAATCGGAATACTGCGCTTAATAATGCAGATGATTAACACTTGCTGTATACATTAAATCTACACTCGAGCCTAAATGGAGTAACATGAAAGACATTCCACTGTAGAAGCAGTGTTTATTTTTTTTAATAACCATGTCTAAGGCAGTGTTTCTCAACCCTCACCAGCTTTCAGACATGGGGACTTCAACTCCCAGACTTCCATGCCAGCACATCTTAAATTTGAGAAACCTGACCCCACCATCCTTTCAAAGGACTTCCACAATCCTTTGTAATAGAAGACAAAGATATAAGAAGGGCAGTTACAAGAACTGGGTATGTTCAGAGAAAAGAAGGACTAGGAGAGACATGATAGCAGTCTTCCAATATCTGAGGGGCTGCTGCAAAGAAGGGGGGGGGGGTCAAGCTATTTTCCAAAGCACCAGAAGGCAAGAGAAGAAACAGTGGATGGAACCTCATCAAGGAGAGAGAAACTGGTCTAACATTTTGAGGGCTGTTCTAACAACTCTGGCAGCTTCTAAATGCATTGGACAGCACAATTTCTCCCCTTCACCCAAGCCACTGCAAACTCTTTTTTTTACCTGCCATTCAAATTCACTGTCTGACCAGTCCCAGTATGTGCTAATGGAGGAAGAGACATCGCTACAGACACTCCCCTCGGGGAACAGGTCAAAAGAGGTTAATTCCTGGTCATCCAAGAGAGAGAAACAATCATCCTGGTCGCCCACAGAGACCGAAGAGAAGAGCTCCTCGCTGCATTCGGAGCTGGCTACGCTTGTGCCACAAGAAGTTAAGTTCCATCTGAAAAAGAAAATGTCAAAATTGAAACATAGTCAGAGAAGCAGGAAATGCGACTTATTTTAAAGGACTATCTCAAGAATCTTGCCAACCTTCCCACCTTTCACTGGTTTGCTTCCCACCGTACTTTTTACTTAGTTTTAATGTTTTTAATCTGTCATCCCTCGGTTTTGCTGGGAACTGGGTAACATACAGATGCAATAAATTATCATTTACAAAGCAGAGTATTCTAAGTAACCCAACTAATCATGTGTCATTAAATCCGTGTTATTTTGTAGCAACCATACAAATTTTCTGCAAGAAATGACCCGAACACCCTACCTTAAATGTCCCAAGCTGGGATTATGAAAGAAATAGAAGGTACCTACATTTGTCTCCTACAAAAGCAATCAGATCAAAACTCACTTCCTTCCTACAGCATTTCAAAAACAGTACTCCTCTACCAGCAATATTGTAGTAGCTATGTTCCTTATAAAGCTGCTGCCAATAGTGAATTAGCCAATGCTAAAACCTCAGCTAGGAAGAGCTGTGTCAGGCAACACAAATATTTTGCCACTGTATGTCCAGAAAAAATAAGCACGGAAGGCACCAAAAATGTTGATTTTACTGTTAGAAAAATAATCGCAAGGGGAGTAATGCAGAGAATTCCCAAAGACAAAATCAGTAAATAACTATTAATTTCCTGCACTGGCTTGGATCCACCCGCAACCCTCCACATGGCTCTTCCTCCTCCAGCTGAATGGATGGATGGATGGAGAAGGAGTACGAGGGGAAGACCCCCCCCCGCCTGCCCCCTTCAGGCCCTTCCCCGACTTCAGGACCCATCATCCTTGTCCTCCTTCTGCCTCAGGGCCCATTGGGCATCCTCCAGTCGAGTGGGGGGGAAAGGAAGGGGTGGCTGACTAAAAACAGACCTCACAACAACCCTGCGAGGTAGGCCAGCCGGAGGTCCCGCCCGCCCCTTCCATCCCTTCCCCAACCTCAGGGCCCATCATCCCCACCCTCCTTCTGACTCAGGGACCCATCAGGCAGCCCCTAGTCTACGAGGGAGGGGGGGAAAGGGGTGGCTGATTAGATAAAGAGCCCGGTCTCCTCTACAAAACCCCGTGAGGTAGGCCCCTTTCCCGCTTCCATCCCTTCCTTGACCTCAGGACCCATCATCCCCGCCCTCCTTCTGCCTCAAGGGCCCA